GGGGGGGGACCCCATCAGAAACAGCACCAGCACAAATGGCTAAAATAAAACTGTTTTCAACACTCGAAGGGGTCATCTTCATTCACCTGCAAACTCTTTTATACAAAACCACCTGTTCCCCTCTGGGCAGGACAAATGAGGCATCGTGCCTGGCGGGCACCATGGGCATCCTCTGGAAAGTGAACACCAAACAGCAGTGCAACCATGTGGGACAGCTGCGTGGTGCGGAACCTCAGGGGTGGCCCCAGTGTCCCTGAATCGCCATGGTAGGGCATTCCCCAGACCTCACCAGAGAACCAAGAGCCTCTCCTGCGAGGCCCACTAGCCGAGAGACCCCAACTCCATCCTAGGAAGTGGAGAGAGATGGTGAGACTTGAGTCCTGGCTGCACCCCGGCTCCCCCACCATCTTGCTGTGTGATGGGGAGACACCACGCTTGGTCCACCCAGGACGGTCCTGGTTGACGTCCACTATTCCGCTTGGTTATTAGTGGGGCACCCTTTCACTCTCAAAGACACCCCACCTGACAATAAGCTCTATATTCACCCTACTCTGTGACCTTGGGCAAGTCCGGCTGCTTTTGCAGACCTGTTTCCACATATGCAAAGGGGGTGATGGGCCCTCAGTGTCCACATGTGCAAGGGAGGTGACGGATCCTCGATTTCCTCATGTGCAAGGGAGGTGATGGGCCCTTGATTTCCTCATGTGCAAGGGAGGTGATGGGCCCTGAGTGTCCACATGTGCAAGGGATGTGATGGGCCCACAGACCACCTGGAGCTCACCTGTGGCTAGCAGTTGGGTTTATTACTCATTGCAGTGAGGAGAAAAGATCCCATGGGGCATCTCTGCAGGAAGGTATGAAGAAGGAGTTATGGGATTTGGGGCTTATTCGAGGAGGGGGGTGTGAGGAAGTGGGGCTCTGCTCTGGATTGGATGCTGTCGGGAAGCAGGGTAAGCTCTGCATCCTGATCCATCTCATCTCTCACGGGGAAGACCAGCCCCCAGCTGGAGCTGTAAATGGCAGGGAAGCAGCCGGCATCCTCTAGCCTGGAGAGGGAGACATGTGGCCATTGTTGCGGCAGTGACAATGGTCACGTTGCCTGTGCTGGGCCGGGGCTACCAAGCTGTCTGGACTTGTCTGACCCATCATGGTCACAGAGTGGCCTTGTCCGATGCTGATGCTCAGTGAACTTGCTCACAGTCAGCAGAGCACCAAGGCCTCGCTGCGAGGGCCTGGGCTCCTGGCTGTCGGGCCGCTGCTCTTCCTCTGGTCTCACGACTTCGCCAAGTCGTGAACCAAGAGCCTGCTTGTGGTGGGGGGCTGCCAGTGACTGTGGGAAAGGGGGGTAGGCTGTGCAGTGTATTTCATTTGAAAAGAAGGGCCAGCAGCTTTTTAGAAGTTTGACAAACATGGGTGCAGGGGGCTCCTACTCCACTCTGCTCTGACAATCTCGAGCTCTGAGACCTGCCTTCTCAGCATATTAGGTCTGAAATCCCACTATTGTGCCTGTCCTCTTGGCCTTGCTGCCTTTCAGTCCCCTCCAAGGACACGGGCTTCTGGGACGGTCCCTCTAGCTGACTGATTAGTTGGGAGGGTGAGAGGTCTTCCTGCAGGTCCCCAGGGAAGAACGGCTGGAGGGGCAGTCTTGGCAAACCCTGGGGTTCTGGCATCAGCCCCAGGCCCCAGGTTTGTGTACCATGGCAGACATCCCTGTTCTTTTCACCCTCCTGGGAGGTCAGAGGGACTTTGGAAGTTTCCATTCCCTGGGAGGAAAAGGCTCTGGAGAGATGGAGGCATGGCCCCTGCCTTTACCTGGGAAAGAAAGTGGTCCCGGGGGCAGGGAGCTCGGGTTCCTGCTGACTGCTTGCAGTGACCTTGGGCATGTCACGGCCCTTCTGGACTTCTGTCCCTGTTCTCTATATGATTAGGTGGAGGCGGAGAAGATTCTACTCCCAGTCCTTGAGCACTGTGTCAGGCAGCCCCACACCTATTACCCCCTTTGGTCCTTGCAAGGGCCCTGGGAACAGATCTGTTGACACTCCTCCCCACCCCCCACACCCCCACAAATGTTTGTTCTGAATCCCAGACTCTGGAGTCAGAAAGACCTGGGTTTGCACTCAGTCTCTGTCAGTTCTTTGTTGTGTGACCTTGTACAAGTC